TACGAAAACCTAGGAATCTAGACGATGTATATTGCGATCATAGGATAACTTTGTGTTACTTATCTGTGTATTTGATTGATCTATTTTTCAAAAATGTCTTCACATTTCAAAGTTGGCAACAAAAGATAAAAGGGATTTTGGTTCAATAAAATGTTTTAAAAGCCATAGATAGCAATTTCCTACAAACTTAACGGAAGCAAAAAAAAAAAGAAAAATACGATAAACTTGCTTATTCTTACACCTATCTGATACTATTTTGAGAAAAGTTGGAAATCTTGATTCTACAAAAGAACTTTAACAAAAGTTGAAGGACTTATATTTGCTTAAATCCACTCCTAATAAGCTGTGTTTGCTTGAACGATTTTTTAGTTTTAAAATGGATCCTTCAAAGGGTCTTGCTGACAATTTAGATGTTTTTAACAAACTTGTTCAAGATATTATTAATTGTGATGAAAATGTGTCTGAAACATATAAAACTATTATTCTGCTTAATTTCATGCATGATTCATATAGAAAGGTTAATAATGCAATTAAGTATGGTAGGGACATTTTAATAACAAGATTGTCATAGACTCCCTTAAGAATAAGGAGATGGAAATAAAGGCTGAAAAATAAGATAAAAGAAGTGGTGGTTACATATGATGAAGAGTTGGATGAAGTTTAAACAAATGAATCTGGGTAGAGCTCAAGACAGTAGTGATTCGAGTAGTGATTCGAGTGATGAGGGTAGTAAGAAGAAGGGCAAGGGACGGGATAATTCTAGTGGTAGACAGTGTTACAGCTGTGGTAAGTCTGGGCACTTTATTACGACTATACCAAAAAGAAGGATAAGCAGAAGGCTAAGATGAGAGGTGAGTTGAATGTGGCCATAGGGTCATGTAATGACCCCAACAAAGTTTATTGTGAGTAAACCTAATTGCTGCATGTGCATCTATGTGTGATCCTTTATGCATGTGGGTGATTGTCTAATTTTTGTTGCATGATTATATGTTGCATTTCAATGTGTTTAGTATGTGCATTTGCATGAATTTAAGACAATATGATTACTTGTTCATAATTGTTTGTATGCATAGTGGGTTAGGATGCATTAACAGTGTGCTGTATGTCATTTGGTGAGGTGTAGTTTAAATGTCTGAGGGTACATTGTGGTTTGTATCGGGGATATGAAATGTGACATTTGAATCATAAGTGGAGATGTGATTAAATATCCAAAATCCTTTATCTGTAAAGGAATTCTGATCAGGTGAAGTGTGAGAGAGGCGCTTCCATCACTTTTGTTAGATGAAGACGCATTATCCACATAAGTTGGAAGAAGTGATGTGGTGATAGAGAATTATTCCGTAGAATTAGGATCTATTGTGACTTACCAATTAAACATTAGTTGAGTGATCAATCTAGTGAGCATGGTGAGCGATGAGAAGAGATATATGTTCTTGAGGTGAGAGCAACACGAAATGGGGTAAGATTAAGCCCCTGTTTGATCCTCATTACATTCAATTACATTACATTCCATTTTTCTCTCTCTTATTTTCAACGACCTGATCTTCCATAAAATAATATTACACGTAAATCAAAAACTTTTCCTTCTTTTTCAACTACTCATTTTTCTAAAAAATACTATTTCCCCCATTTTTATTTTCAAGTAATGGGGATCAAACGGGGGCTAAGTGTGGTGAGATCTTTTCGTAGGGTCATTTATGCATTTGTTGCATATGCGTTGGCCATCTGTTGATTAACTTGATGTTAATCTGTGGTTCTGTGTGAACGCATTTCTGAAAAGATCTGTGTGTTATCCTGTATATTGTCATTGCATATTTATTTGGTCTTGCATATTTACTATGAATATTTGCTTCTACTTGAGTGTTCTTGACCTTAGCGCGGGTGAGTACATAGAGTGGGTATGGTATGTGTTTTGAGTTGAAAATACGAGATAAGGTCTGTGATCCAATTTTATTAGTTATCTTAATTATGCATGTGCTAACTGTATGTTCTGATTTCTTGTAGGTTTATTGAATATCGAGGTGGAGATTTGTTGGGTTTTGATACCCAATAAATCCTGGGCAATCATGTTAAACAATTTCGGATTAGATTTCATAGACCTTGGTCGATGAGTAAAATATTTATCAACCAATCAATTCATATTCTCGACCCGAAAACAACGTGGGCCACTAGTACCAACTTAATTTATTTTAATGTTGTCTTGGCCCAAATTCACTTATTGGAGGGCTTCCTTGTATCTTGGCTCAATCCTTTGTTTCTTAGCCTAAATTGATAATATACCTAAAGCTATATATACCAATCTTCTTGTATGGAAGCCGTGTGTTTTTTGCATTTGTTTGAGAAGAGAGAAACAGCTGCCTCCTTGTGATCTTATTTATGTTCTTGTCTTCTTCTATCTTCTCTTTGCCTTTGTGGGTGAGAAAGGAGGAATGCAATCATAAGTGATTGAGTTGTGGGTTGAAGTTTGATTGGTTGGTTGATATGTTGATTGGTAAGTTTAATCTTAGCCCGAAATCCATCGATTGAAGATAAATTCCGCAGCACCTTGGCAGGATTGACCGGTTAAGATTTGAATTTTGGCTTTTTGCCGTCTATAGTACATCAAATTCACTATATGCCTTTTTTTTTTCCTTTTTCCTTTCCCATCATTTTGCCAATAACTTTGTACACATTAATGAAATGTGTATTATTTTCATATTTTGTAACTCCGAAAACTAAAGTATTAATGTCCGCAATTAGACGATTCACCCTTGGATGTTCTGCAAATGTGTTTTTATCATATTGTGATTTGAAGTCATTAGACCACATCGTCAAGTTGTGCATATGAGCGCTATCAGTCATCGAGGAATATTTATACTTGGTTATTCCCTTTCTTCAAATTCGAACACAATGCAATCTACAGGGAAGGAATGCACCATGTTTGTACGAACCATAACCAAAGATCCATTTACCTAGAAGGACATTGTGCAAAATGATGAGTTTTTTCTGTACTTGGAATCAGACTTCTTTTCGAACTACCTATTACAAATGTTAAAATAATGGTTGATATCGGTTTCAATTGTTAATCAATAACAATAAAGGATGAGTAAGTGAAATGTTGATTAGCAAATATGATTTGGTTATCCATGTTATCAAATGGCTATAATTTTATAACACAACAATACTTCAGTTGTCACTTAAATTGTGTTGGTATTCATCTTTTATTGTATTCAGGAAGCTGCTAGGAGTACAGGGCCGATACTTACAAGCTCCTTACAAATACCTCACAAATGGTGGGGTCGGTAAATTTTTTTGCCTTTTTTTATTACACGGGGTCCCTTGTGGACCCGACCTCCATGGGTCTGACCTGTAAGAGGCCTGTAAATTCAGCCTCTGTACATTCAGCTTAATGCTTGTATTCATTGAAAAAGCCTTTCAATGTAAAACTACTTGCCTACCTATAAGATAATATTGTCACATTTCAATTCCAATGCCTAAAGGATTAATAACACAAGCATACATTAGGAATCGCAAAATTCTTAATGAACGGGAATACATGTCTTGTAGAAATTAAAATTCAGATTTCAATCTAAATCAAAGTCAACAATTAATTTTAACCATATTTTTTTTTGGATCCACAATTTCACAATATCATATATTTCATCAATTTTTATCAAAATTTGTTAAAAATCTTATTTTTATCTCCATCAAATAGGGGCATACGTGATAACAATATTATAAATTGGGGATGGACAGGATTTAAAGGGCAAAAAATTCTTTTTGAATGAATGTATTATGGATAGGAAGCTGTTTCTTGTACATAATTATTGCATAATAATGAGATGTCGAAATGTAATTGGAAAAGTTATTTGATTAATGAGATTTTGATCTAATTAAATCAATTATTAGTTTACTTGTACACTTTTCATATATATAATGGGTTACACCCCCTCACATAAAGGGGGTCCATTGATAAAAAATTATATGCGAGCCCCCTCGATCTGAGAGGGTGTAAAACATTATGTAGCATCACCCTTGAATCAAGCCACATTATATAAAGAGACATTTTCAAGAATGTCCAATTTTAAGGGTATGAGTTGAAAAGTATCTACTTATTTGAATTTAGTGCCAATTTGTCTATTATGCCCTTAATGAAAAGCTACATTTTGAAATGGTATTTTCAACATTTTAAATGTTGTTCTCGACATTTGATTTTTTTATCAATTTGTCACGAATTTTGAGAAGTGGCTTCCATGAAAAGTTACATTAAAATAAATTCGGACGACAAAAAAAAAAAAAATATATATATATATATAATACTTTAAAAAAATAACGTAAAAACAAAAAATATGATACTTAAAAAAAAAAAATCACGTCTCCGTGACACGGAGACATTCTCGACATTTGCCTCCGTGTCACGGAGACATTCTCGACATTACATATGTCATTCTCGACATTTGAATATCATTTCATTAAAAAAAAATTGAAAAAATCATGTCTCCGTGACACGGACAAGTACCTCCGTGTCACGGTGACATTCTCCACATTACATATGTCATTCTCGACATTTGAACATTTTATTTGTCTAGAATGACATTTTATTTTAAACATAACATTTCTTGACATTTCGAAATATCGTTCTCGACATTTTTAAGTCAACGAAAAATATAGCATTTATTGTGATTTGACATGTATACTTTTGAAATAAATATGGCAGGTTATGTGTCAAAATTTTATTCGCCAATAACAATTTTGCAAAAATGTCAATTTTTTTGTCTTAGTGTGGAATTAAAAATTGTTAATAAGGGTATTTTGGTCTAAATTTTTCCAAATTGGACATTTTTGCAATGGTTTGCAATAATGGACATTTTTGCAAATGACTAAGTAAAAATGGACATTTGATGAAATTTCCTCTTATCATCTTATATAAATTGATCATTAAACAAGCAAACACTTTTCAACGGCAGGAGATTGAAGGCGCACTCTATATTAGCCTGCACTCAAAGCATAGAATCGAACTTCCCTCACTAGCCGTTACTATTGCAAAATATGGACGTCATTCAAAAATCTGACCGTTATTCTCTCCTCAACCAAACCCCCTCCTTGCCTTCCTCCCAAACGCTTATCTGAATCAACCAAGAAAATTTTTGCCATTACGAAAAAAATGGTGAACGACAATGAGCCAGTCACGAGCCCCCAAAACCCGAAGGATCCACCAAGAAAACAATCACACGCTGTTGAAAATGCCGGGAAAGACGACACTTTGTTTAGCCCAAGGTTCAGATCAGTGGCGGCCATGGCCGGTTGGGATGAAGAGGCACTGCTTGTCGCCAGTCTTGTTGTTGAAGACACCCCAGATCGCCAAATTAAACACAAGAAACGCTCCAATTTACAGAATTTCAAGACCCCACCAACAAATTCAACGAGGTATTAAAACTAATTGGGAATCATGTAAATAATTTCGTTTTCCAGATTCATCCGCCGGTGCTTACATTATATTTTTGAGGGAATTACCTTATTGTTCTTTTTCCAGAAAACGCAGGGCTCAGAGAAGGAGTCCTGCTTCAATACCCGTGGTTGTTCTTGATCTTGATGAAGATGGTTCCACTTCAAAACAAGGTAATTTTCGTTTCTTCCTTTTATTTTTTGTTTACTTCAATTAAATTATTACTGGGTTAGATATTTTTTTACTTATTCTGATTCATTTTTGTTTTTCTGTTAATGAATGATGATGGATAGAGAGTGAGAAAAACAAGATTCAGTCAAGAGTTCCTGCAGAAATGGAGAAGAAAACTGGAGATGATGAACTTGATACTAAGGGATCCAAGTCGACTCAAGAAGTTCCTTGCATTGATCGATTACGTGAAGAGCTCTCTTGCGCGGTAAAAATCAAATCATCATGAACAAGCCTTATGTTTCGTTAAAATCTCAATATACCCTATTCTCTTTTCACCGTCATCTTCACCCCTAGCTCAAAAATAACAAAATCGACTTTTTAGTGTAAAAGAAGGAGTTTTAAACAAAATGGGAAAAATCCTTTCGAAAATTCATCTGTGCATCGTCAATGTTCGTTTCTATACATAGTATACAATATTGATGTCTGATTGATTTGGCAGATTTGTTTGGACATATGTTTCGAACCGAGTACTACACCTTGTGGACACAGGTAAAGTAAAATAAATGGCTATTTCAATCTTTCCTCATATATAGTTTAGAAAAATACACTCATCAAATGGATTGGATTCTGCAGTTTTTGCAAAAAATGCTTGCGGTCTGCAGCCGATAAATGTGGAAAGCGATGTCCAAAATGCAGAGATCTCATCAGGTATATATCACTTAGCAAGCTTGTTCATAAACAAGGGACTTCTTGAATTAGCCCATGCCCCTTGGTGTTTGAACTATTGGGCTGTGTTGAGCCTAATAGGCATTACACTTTTTTTGGAAACATATATTGGGTATTCGATACAAGTATTGGGTTGTCCTAATTATTTTTTTGTAATAAAGAATGCTAGGAAGATGACTTTTTGGTTATCCTTGTATCTTCTTCTCCATTATAGTAAAAACTTTCAATCTCAAGTGGACATAACTCTCATATTGATAGATCTTGCATGATATGGTAGGAATGGTAGATCTTGCAAAGTGAACACAGTTCTTTGGAACACTATTCAGCTGTTATTTCCCCAAGAAGTTGAGGCGAGGAAGGCAGCGGCAGCCAGTCCCTCGAGTAATACTGAATCTCAGCCGAAAAGTGCAGCAAGAGTGAGTCATTACAACGTGCGAAGCAGAATTATTGATGCCTTGAATAGTCCAGAGTCGGAAACTCGAGACCCTGAAAGAAGAAGCCATCGTATTAGAAGCCGGAGTTTCCGCTCGTCAAGCAGAAGAGATGTTAGTGTGAGGGCCAGAGAGTTGCCAAGCCAGGATGAGGATGCTGCATTTGCTTTGAGATTGCAAAGAGAAGAATTCATGGAGGCTTTTAGGAGCCCCAGTGAACCGAGAAACTCACTTGCACTAGCTAGAGCTAACTTGAGAGCTATGGCATCACACGCTGCTAATATTCGTGTTAGACGCCATGGAAATTAGGCGATGTACCTCTCACCCGAGAAAAGGTTACAAAAGTGTACCTCACACCCCAGTTAAGCCATGTTACTGTCTTGGCCACGTTTGGTACGAGTAATGATCATGATTAGATAGTATAACAAATCAAATTTTACCCTTTTTTATTTATCGTGCAAATTGTGTTATATTATCTGCTAGTCTTGTCAATTTACCATCATATTTGTAGCCTTCTTATGGCTACTTAGGTAAAAGAATAATGTTATTCATCTAGATTGATGATTATCGTCGATATACATTTGACAATCGATTCAATCACCACTACAATACCCAATAAAGTTGAAATGTATATTTATTTATTGAACAATGTAACAATAATCCATTATTAACATGGAACTATGTAATTATCACTTTAGATGAATAACATTACTCACTCCAAAAAGTGTGTTTTGCAACAAAAATATGCAATCTTAAGTAGTTCCGCTCTCTTGACCAAAAAAAAAAAAAAAAGGACAACTCGAATTGAATTATTGGACTTAAGCGGAAAGACTAACAATTCAAGATTCAAGATCACACAAGCACTATGAATTTGTTCAAAACACATTGGAACACCCAAATCACAACTCTTAAAAGGAAAATAAAAAACTGAAAAAGATGAAGCCCAAAGCAACTTTTGTTCTTTTTATTTATTATTTATTATTATTATTATTAAATTTTTTTTTTGCCTTTTAACACTAAAGTCTAATAGCTTATATGTCAAAGCAAGGACAAGATCATCATAAGTGAAAATCAATCTTGAAAACCAGAAATGTAAAAGTACATATATCATTCGATTACATTCTCGTGAAACATTACATCTCGTCTAATGAAAAATTGCTGAACTTAGGAGTATGACTTGATAAGCTCGTATAGGTTACAGATAACAAAATCAAGTAAATCCTAATCTCACATAAGTTTTATCTCACAAGAAATACAAAACACGCAGTTGAAGTCAAATACCGAGGGGGCACCACATAAGCTTTGAGAACCAATTTATATATATATATAGCAAGACATGTATCCCCAAGCTGAGTTCCATTGCTTCTTTCATCATCAAGATATACACATGCAAATACCGTTGTCTTGTTCTAACTTAGTATGAGAACTCGTGACCTCGTAGTGAAATATACTTCTTGACCCAAATGGCAATGTCTTCAGCACATGCCTGGGCCTGAGGGGTCTTGAGAAGAATGTCAAGGGTCGCAAATTCATGAACTTGATCCTTGTACTCCAGAACAGGCGCATCAACATTTACCTTCCGGAGCTCCTCTGAGTATGCAATAGCCCGATCTCTCATCCAATCATGCTCTGCCACCACTGTCAGTGTCGGGGGCATCTGCTTTAAAGGTGGCCCTCCTCTATCAGCAACAAGTGGGTTGGCCGCAGGATGGTCAAGGTTGAACTCCTCCTCGGATAAGAAAAGTTTCCATGAAAGTATGCACATAGCCTTATCATAGAAGTAGGAATTTGACAATTTAATTTCAGAATGTGTTGGGACACTTCCAATGAAATAAGGATACATCAAAACTTGGGCCACCACCTTAACTGGGTCCAAAAGCTTACCAGCCTCTACAGCTTTCCGTGCCACATAATCAGCAATATTTCCCCCACAACTAGCCCCAAGAAGAACACATCTGTATGTATATGTCAAAACAAGTCAGTAAAGTAGCTCAGGAAAGTTCCGTTAAGTCAGATACAAGGACCTTGACCAGAGATAAATTGATACAGAATTGCATGCATAGGAAATTCAGTAAATTAATCCATCTCTCTTCTTAATCACTTAATGGAATAAAGTTAATATTGTACTGCACTAATAATTTATACCAGTCACACGTTTCTCCTTTGTTCACCCTATTCTTTTTCCTTTTCTTTTTGGGCATGGGAGGGGCAAAAAGAGGGACTTTTCCCATCGAAGTGCTCAATTCTGGTTTAATTATAATCGATACAGAAGTGCTTGCATAGCTCTGAGTTCCCTATACAGCCCCAAAGGCTGCTCCAGAAATATTTTAGAGGCAGTTTATGCTGTCTTCAGCCCTCGCGCTAAATATCACCTGCTCAGTGCAAAGTAGTGGAGAACCACTCATCATTTTTGACAAATAAAACCAAAGTTGATCTGAAAGTTCATTCAGTCCAATCAATGCAAAGTTTTCACAAACTACGAAATCTATCAAGCCATTCTTGCTTAAAACTAATATGTTCTCAGGTTCTTGAATTCATGGCAGAAGCCAGCAACAGGACAGTGGGTACACCTGCTGACTGTCTTTATAACTACGCGATTTAGTCTTGACACATATCACCACGGACAATTTATGAGCGGAATTTCCTTATGTTACATTCAAAACATGAGCATCAAACTACATGAAGAAAAGGATCGAAAATTTATTCATTGGAAGAAAGAAAAAGGTGAAGATAAAAATCTGAAAGTTATCAAGATACGAAGAATGGGTTGAAGAGGATAAAAATACCATGAGAATTTTTCCTCTGACAGTTTGATTAGTTATTTATGAGTTCAGGCTTTAAAAGGATTATCTCATACAGAAGTCATATTGAGCAAGTTAAATATCTCAAAGTTGTTCAAGTAAATCTGGATACAAGAACTAGCTATTTTGTAAAATAAAAATAGAAATATGCTAGTCGCTGGTGATATAAATTTACAGTAGCCCATATTTTCATGATGATGCTTCAAGTGCCACTTGTTCATTGTTCTGATACCAATACCACATTATCAGCCAATGATTTGGATAATGGAAAAAGAAGGAAATTTTTTTGGACACCATCCGCTCAAGTCCACCCAGGCAAGTTTTAATAAAGCTTATGATCGCTCATGTTTATAAATGATTTATAAGCACTCAAACCACTTCTTATCCACACATTTTTAGAGACTTACAAGTACAACCAACTTATCCATCAATCATTTCTATTTATTTATAATTTAAAACATTTATGTTTACTTCCCAAACATGCTCAAATTCAATTCATGCGAAAATTAAAGAACTTCCCCCAACTCCTGACATTTAAATAGAGAAAACTATTCCCTCAAAAGGCATGGAATGAAATAAGGTAACTATCCTTGAGATTGTTGCTTCCAATTCCTACTGCCACCAAATGGATAGGTCAACATTTTCCTGAGAAAATGTTGAATGCTAACATACACCCTCTACGACTAATCTACTGGCAAAAAGAATGATCATGTGCAGTTGATGCTCCATAGCTGCACCAATCCCTAATATATTCATGTTAGTTGGTATATTTTATGAAGGACGATCAACAGTGTCTGACACTAAATCGCTGCATCGGTTCTTAAAACATGTATGTCTGTTTGCAAATTATATGATACATTCTCTAGCCTTCTGATTGAGAATAAACTACCCCAGTTAATTGGAATGAAAGAAAAACCTAAAATCTTAAATACAAGCATGGAATACTTCATTAAACGAGTTCTTGGCAACATACAACAAAGAATCTCAATCAATCTAATTATCAAGCTAGATTTTAGTGGCCAACAAAGAATCAATCAATCTAATTATGAAGCTACACTTAAGCGGTAATTCTTCCGCTTCAACACCATATTGTTGCAATTTAAGACAAATAACTTTCAGCAAATCAGTACCCAAAACTTGCGTGTTGTATCTTTGTCAATTCTTAAAGAGGGGGAGAAAATCAGATGCATTATTGTAAACAAACTGGGATTCGCTTAGAATCCTCTCCCTTATTTTTTTTTTCACTCTAATTTTCTTCACATTTCACATGCATATTATTTTTAAGACTAAGAATTGAGATTTTTATTGGAAGCAATTATTTACTCAAGCAAAAAAGCAATCTGCAACTAGAAGCTTACAAAACATTTGTAAGATGTCAAATCAACCCAACTAGCATTAGTTAGAGAAAATTATAGCACATGTGCATCTATAAAACCAATGACACATCTTGTCATGCCGCGGCATTGAAGTGCATAAACCATGAGATTTGAGTTCCCTACAAGTACGATGAAAATTTAACGATGGGATTTTGAGTCCATAAACTATACAAGGGAAAAGCAACAGTAAAAATTGGACACTATAACAAAGTAAATTAAAATATAATTGGACATCCATACTCCTTTAAAAGCATTATCCTAAATCTAGTCAGATAAGAGGCTAAAAAGCTACCCATGCATGCTCCTTAAAATTCTTGAAGTCACCCCGCATGCTTTAGTTTAACCCCCATTACGTCCACTTAATCTTCATTTCAAATGCAGCTTTACAAAATATAACCATAAAAACAGACTATTCTTCATTGATAGGTTAACCACCAGCTGATCATAAATCAATAAAATGAAGGTTCCAGCAAATAGCAAATAATTCACCTTAAAAGAACAAAGAGAAAGAAGCTAGATAATATACATTCACGTACAGAAGTAGCAGAAGAGAAATATTATGATTTAAAGATTAACAACTAAGTAAACAGAATTTTAAAACTCTAGAATGGGATTCTGCTATTGCATTTCAGTTATATTTCAATCTTCATTCCACAGTGCATTCGTTTCTGGCATCTCTCATTTAATTATCCAGGAACTTTAAATCCCATTACTTTTATTTTTTAACTATGTCACTTACACCTACTTAAAAGCGAAACAATCTGAAGAGTATAAGCCATCCAGACAAAGCAACAGCAAGAATCAAGCTCAGTTTAATAATCATTCATTCGACAGTAATTGATAAAGTCTACCCTAAAGTTTTTCGTCTACGTCCAAAAATGCATTAACAAGAAATAGCTCTCAAACAAGTCAACGTGATCAAACCTAACCTCGATGGATCTCCATGAGCAGCCAACCAAGGCTCCACCATTGATGCACCAAATGCATCAGCAACGTGCCACTGACCATCCGACTTCCTTAAATCTGCTCCACCACCCTGCATACTCCCCAATGATTTACTACATTCCGCCAAATTTGATTGCTTTGCCAACCAATGCAGTACCTTCAACCCATCATCATATGCCGCGGGGTACTTATTCTCAGGAGCTAGCCTGTACCCCACGGCCAACACAATCACATCACATAACTTTGAGATACGCCTACAGAAAAAATCATTCGACTCAGAATCGTTGCTCCCACTCACAAATCCCCCACCGTGAAACTGTATCATCACCGGCAATTTCCGAAAATTATTCCCCATCGGATTATAACCCCTGTATGTTCCATTCTCCGATTTCAATCCAACACCATCGCTACTACATCCATAACTATTTCTCCTATAATTATCCTGATTATGAGCATGCTTGACCGTTACACCATTACTGCTAGAAACATTATTAATCGCGGACCCATAGCTGCTCCGACGGAGCCCGTTTAGATTTGGATCCGATCCGGCAACCCGGGAAAGAGGTTTGCTGAGGGTTTCAGAAAAATTAAGGCAAGTATCGGGAAGAAAAATACGGACTGAGACTAATGTCAAGGGATCGATGTGGATGTCCTTGGTGGCGACACCGTCGGTGAACGAAGGGTTGGCAGCCGCCACCGTCTCCTCCTCCGGCCGTGACGTCACACCAAAACTCCCACCACCACCGACATTGCTACCCGGGTTCTGAAATCGGTTTTGCAACCGATGCTTTAGCATAAATTTGAAGAATACGCTGTATAATTTCACGCCAATGCTTGGCATTTCCGTTGAATACAAAATTACGTATATTAATATCTGCACAAAATTCTTCTCCCTCTCGCTCCGTTTCTATAATTTGATTCAGACAGTAAAATTAGAATAAAAGCATGTGATTGAACTCAAATGGTTCTAATTTATGGATTTACATTGGATAATTAGGGATTTCGTCCCGAATTTACGGAAAATTGAAATCAAAACTTCATTAATTTGTCAAGAGAAAAAGTGGCTTACAGAAAGAAATTAGAATGGTAATGTCAGTGCAATCGATTATATGTATAGTGGAAGGATATATTAAAGAATTTCACCATTAATCTCCAACTTATAATAAGTCTCTAAGTTCATGTCAAAGTTAAGCAAGGATTACAATCTGGATTTTAATTTAAATCAAAGTCAATAATTAATTTTAAATACATATTTTATGGGTCACGCAACTTTACTTTTCAACTATGTATTTCATCAATTTTTATGTATGGCATAGTTTTTATGAAATCATGAATTACTTCAAATTTCAAATACCGTCCCAAATTAACTTAATTTCATAAAATTGAACAAGTGAAGATTACGTAATGATATAATCGATTATAGGTATATGCATGGTTTTATACTAATGATGACCAATTACGGAAATATAATGAAAGTTTGAGGATTAATTTGTTCATTTTCAAAATTTGGAGACTAATTTCATACTAGACGATAGATTGAGTATGAATATTGAAAATTTTCTCAGATAGGTTGACATGTGGGATTGCGCTGTCTATTTGTTTGTTCTGATGTCCGTGCCAGATACTCCATGTGGTGCAAGTAAACTGGGGCCGTTGATCTGCTGGATTAATCTGTTCTGTGTGTCCACTGTTTAGTTAAGTAGTTGTGCTTTTTCTGTTTGTACCCCATGAAATGGACTAAGAAAGTCATAGCGTACAACTTCTGATAAACTTAGAGAAGTGAATTCCTTGCATGACATGTTATGGCGATGCATATAAAATACACTACATAAATTGCAGATTACAGAATACATAAATGAAAATCAGTTGAAAAACATTTAAACATAAATTTCTTGATTGCAAAGGCCATCATTCTAAAAACTAAAGAAAACAAATTTCCTCCATAAGCCTCCTGTAGTTTTGTCGCCGAAGTTCATATCTACATTTCCAGCGTAACCCGGCTGGCCAAAAGTAAGAAGCACGAAGATGGTGGACAAAAATGATATAAAATTCTCTGGTAATAGTTCCAACTCTGAGCTCATTCTAGCCATTTGAATAACCTATATACCAAATAAGCTAAGAAATCAACTGTAGATCTTCGGTCTCTAGCCTGATGTCTTCAAGTTCATCGTGCTAGGAACGAGCACAGGTTCATTACTTGAAGCTTTCATTGCAGCAATTTCTTCTAACCGCTTCCACGTTGCTTCTCGTTTCGTCCGAGTTTCTTCTTCCCGTGCTTCATCTTCTTGGAACTTCAGCAAACACTCCTCAAGGAGCTCAGGATCAGTGTCGGAGAAAATCTTCCGGACATTCAGTGTCAAGCTCTGTACTGCCTGGTTCCAGTGATTTTTCGCATTCCTTTCCAAGGTAGGGAAGATAATTGGCAGTATAACTTTACGGTTTTGTTTGATAAGGTTCTCGATATGATCATTGTTCCACAAAAATAAAGCCCTCTCAGCCACCTGTAGAAACAAGAGTTGTACAGCATGAAAACGGAGATATCATCGTCTTTTTAGTTTAAAAAGCACTTTAATAAAAATTATTGTAATTTACAGTTGTCATCAAGGAAAGCAATGCTCTAAAATGTCGTATATACCAAGCGCTGTGCACAAAAATTTCAAGCAGTATCAATTATTGGGGTCAGGGGATAGGCACTTCGAATCCTATAATCCAGTAACATTTCATTGGTGATCAGGTCAGAGAAAGGAGTGTTTTCCGCTTTAAACATTTTAAGCCTGTTGCCATAAACATAACTAAAACCAATTGCGCTCACTAAAACCAATTGTGCTCCCTTTTCGTCATACTTTTAGTAATGATAACTTATTTCAGAACAAAATTCACCTTTACAATGTTATACTTGTTGGCCAAAGAATGGGAAACAAACGGGGGACTAAATAATACTTGACAACATTAAATCAGACAAGATACTAAAATGTGCGTATGCAGTGTCCCAAACTCCCAATGCATCCAAAATCACCTTCCTAAAGTATACAATAAATTATCATTAAACTAAAACCCCTCTCCTACAACTCATCCACATGCTTGTATCTAAAACGAGACTACAAAGAGATCAGAAGCCTTGTCGTGTAAACATGTTAAATAGGGGAACACTACACATGATGTTTGATAATAAGACGTAGAACACTAAAGATTATGGGAGTGTTTGAGCCATATTATTTTGGTAATAATGCATTCTTGAATAGTGTATTGATGGAAAATGTGTGGTTAAAAAATAAGGAAAATTTTTTTATATGCTTATAATATTATTTTATTGAAGAATGTGTGGTTGAAATGATGTCAAATCACTGTTTAAGAATGTATTTTTTTGGAATAATGTTGCTCAAACACCCCCTATATGTACAAACAAACAGATATCCTACTAGGCAATTGGAGGTTTTAAACTTCCAAATTAAAAGGGAAAATTGCAGCAGCGATCCCTAACCTTTCACATTTTTCCAGACTTTATCCTAACCTTTAATTTGTGTCAACGAAAGTCCCTAACCTTTCGAAAATATTCAATCGAGATCCAAATGGATGGTTCGACCATTAGTTGACCAAAAGTCAAATGGTTAATTGAATTTTGACCAATTTTAAAAGGTTAAAATGGTAATTTTATATTTTATACAATAAAACAATTAGATAAAATGCAATAAAATAAAATAATTAAATCAAAAAATTATAAAACCAAAACCTAGTTCAAATGGTCATCTTCCCCACCCTACCTCAAAACTAAACCCAAGACACCGCCGGCTATCCCCACCGTCGGCCATCGCCACCACCATCTACAAGACTCCGGTTATCGCCACCAAAACCTCCACTCTTCAAGACATCAAGACCAAAACCTTCATTATATTTTTGAAAATCTTGCAGCGAAGCTGAAGAACAAAAAACTCGCGACAACTGAAAGAAGAAACTCACGAAGCTGAAAAAAAACTCGCAACGGTTATAGCATAACGTTTTCAGATTTGCGTAAATCAAGTATAATGTCCTAAAATCGAATGGGATTTTGAACAGTTGGCCAAAGGACAAAGGTTTCGATTTACAGTGCAGTGTAGTTTTTCGATTTATAGTGCAATGGTGTTTTTGGGTTTCGATTTTTATGTGTTTTGACCAGTCGACAGTAACTGTTGTTTTGGAGGGACAATTGAAGGAGAAGACCCTTTTTTGGCCGGTCAATGGTGTTGTTGGCCCGACGATGGCCAGAGGTGACGAAGACCTTTAGTTTTGAGGTTGGGGTAAGGGGAGGGGAGATAACCTTTTGAATTGGGTTTTGGTTTTTTAATTTTTTGATTTAATTATTTTATTTTAATTGTTTTATTATATAAAATATAAATTTACCATTTTAAACTTTAAAATTGATCAAAATTTAGTTAACCATTTGACTTTTGGTCAACGGTCAAATCATCCATTTAGACCTCAGTTGCATATTTCCGAAAGGTTAGAGACCTTCGTTGGCACAAATTAAAGGTTAGGGTAAAGTCTGCAAAAATGTAAAAGGTCAGAGACCGCTGGGCAATTAGATATTTCTCTTCATCCCACAACCGAAGATTAACGTTGGCATTGGAGGAGATGCATCTATTAAAAGCAGCAGGCTTGACCTAAAGACCCATTTGGGACTTCAAATGCAATGCATTAGCCCATTAATATAGTTGAGAATTTTTAAATTATGAACCTAATAAACCAGTATAACTTCAACAGTTCGCCGTTAAACCGACCGGTTCAATGGTTCTTCAACAGGATTCTAATTTCTAATTTACAACACGACCAGGAAGACTTGTTGGCCGGTTCCAGGTTTTCCAGAGCGGACCTGAGCCAGTCCAGTCATAACTTTGACAAATATAGTCAAGGATATGGAAAACAGGATGATCAATTAACTTAATTGTCATCCATTCAATGGGAGTGAAGAAGGTTTGGTTTGAATTTTTTTCAAATCAAACAATTTTAAATGATTTGAAAATTTCAAAATTAAACCATTTCATTTCCCAAAACAAATCCTTTTTTTTTTTTTTTTTTTTTTTGGTGGTTTTAAAACAACGAAATGAAAAAAATAAATACAATGCTTTGAAATTTCACTATAACATTACATTGAAACCTTCTATACATACAGGTTACAAAACTAATATATTTGTCACACTAAAAGCTTAAACCAATAAATTAATACAAGGTTCAACCATGATATTTAAGCTTCCACTTCATTCTTTAGATAAGAAAAATATTATCATAAATAAATTATTATCTTCCTAACAAGCCAAGATAAGCCAACTAACAACTAAACTTTTTAAATTATAAATTGATCTAGCCCTTGTTTGACAACCATTATTTTTCATTCAATTTTCTCATACTCATTTTCAACTATACATTTTCAACTATACATTGTCATAATAATATATTCTTCACATAAATTAAAAGCTTTTTCTTACTTTTGAACCACACATTCTCCTAAAATTTACTATTCATAAACTAATTCCTTCCAGAAAAAGTTTCAATCAAACAGGGGTCTACTAAGTAATATATCTTGAGTAAAACAAGTAATTTTTTTTAAAAAAAATTGGGTGAACAATTCGATTTAGTTTCAAGCAGAGTTTTTAATTATCGATACATAAACCAAACAACTTTTAACGGCTTGGGTTGGATTTGAAATACTCGAAACCTAAACCACGTGAAACCAAACTAACAAATTCAAAACTATAATCTTCTCCGGTTGACAGTGTTTTGCTCACCGACACTTAATGGTATACCAATTTATTCCAAAGCTCATATTCTTGTCTAGAAAAATTCAATGATTACCTACTATTGATATCACTTATGGACAAATCTTGTACAATTTCCAAAATACAGAATACATAACTAGACCATGTTTCGCTAAGCTTAAAGAAGTAACCTTTTTTTGGAGACTAAGAAAAGACTTAAAAGAAAATTGGCACTAATAATGTCAAGGAGAAATGGTAACTTCTTATAAAGTTAAAAAATGTTGGGCAAAATAGTTACTTAAAAACGTAACTTTTAAGCTTAGCCAAATATACTCTTGTTAGTAGCCGAGTGACATTTAGTTTTCTAATAATCGGCTTTGACACATAGTTTTGAAACACAATCAAGTGTATGCTACGACATAAGTACAACATCACTGATGTGAAGTTCAGGGTAAGCCACACAATTATGGTAGAGTGGGATGGGAAAATGTTAAAATAAAGCTCTACTTGAATCAGAGAATCTTCCCATTTAAAAGCCTATTTAATATTTTTTTAGCATGATCAGGGATGTGAAAACCCACCCACGAGAATATTTATGTAACTCGAGTCAAACATTACATACTAAAAAAGACTATCATGTTTGCTGGATTCATAATTGAATCCGGACACAATCTACCAAATTAGTTTGATTTATTGTTTAAATTCATAAATAATATATTTCATGTGATGAATAACATTTAAGAGACAGAGTAGGACAACCGAAGTACAAAAATAGTTGCTCGGTAGATACTATAACATTGAACATACAGTTCACAAATGGAAGTTTTCAATTGAAACATAATTCACCATGTGAGCCATATTCTATGTCCCACTTTGACCAGTCAACTCAATGTTTTTGTTTCAACCTTTAAGTACAAAAAGCACGCCCATTGCCATAGTTCATGTATTTGTTTACACTTTACATTTAATGACTACAGTGCGAAATTGTGCTAATGATATTTTAGCATCACTGGACTTCAATACTTCTACTAAACAAGCTTCTCGTTTTTACTATTACTCGTGGGAAGAAGGCCCCCCTCCCCAACAAAAAAGGACAAGTAAAAGCAACAAACTTAAGTTTATGAGTAGGGTTGCACAAAAAAATCGCGAAACGGCAACCCGAACCGAAACCATTGATTTGAAAGCATTGGTTCGAATCCATGTGGAAGCACGATTTTTTCCCTCAAACCGAACCAAACCTTTTCAAAATGATTTGGTTTAGGTTTTGATTTTCAAAACAGCACAAAATCGAACAGAACCATTTTTAAATTTTTTTAATTAAAACATTAATTTCATTAACTTATAAATTTATATATATATATATATATATATATATATATATTCGACAATCCAAATCATAATTTAACAAAACTACAGAAACAAATCATGTCCAAAGCTTATGAAACCCTAACATAAACTCTCATTTCCTAAACATTTGACACTTATCTGTCACTGCTAAATGAATCGCTAGTCGCCTTTTGCCTGTCAGTTTGATAATTTCTACCTATATCGCCTCTTTCTTTATTCTCTCCCCAAAAGTCTCAAATTCTCAATCAAGCCATTTTTTCATTGTTCTTTATTTTATTTGTTGTTTTTTAACTTATTATATACTTGTGAACTGTGGTTTGGACAGAAAAATAATTGTTTGTGCGCCTAGAAGATTAATGAGCTTGTTTGTGGGTTAGAAAGAACGAAGAACAGAGTGAATTGATTGTGTGAAAATTTCCTAATTAGTACTACTACCTTATACTTTCATAAAGTAGTGAGAGAATGAAATTCGTCAATTCTCAATAAGTCTAAACTCTATCAATTTTGTACATTTAAACATATTATGTTCAATCCTTATTTAACATCTCACTAGCAAAACAAAAGGAATTTTAACTAAATTGTAATAGCAGAATATGACTCTACTTTTACCAAACGCTATACGACAATATGAATGTCAAACAAGAAAAAGTAAATAGAAATGAAGAAAAATATATTTGTTCTATTAAAATCTTTTAGCAACCAACTTTGAAAATAATTTATTCATGAATTTCATTATGTTTCATTGTAAATATGAGTGTAATTCAACATTTAACATTATTAGTTCTCGTTTTAAACTTATATGTTAACTTGTTTTAAATATATTAATATAATGTCGATAGGTAAATCGCGGATTAAAATCAAACCAAACAGCAAATCATGGTTTAGTTTGGTTCATTTCGAAAAATAAAATGATTTGGTTTGGTTTGAAAAAATTCCAAACTGTATGAAATAGTGTGAGTTGAAAATATAGCATAAAATACCCAAATCAAACCGCGTTCACCCCTATTTAAGAGAGTAAAAATTTCCAAGTTTCTTAGTTCCAATGTATCAAAATCAGTAATGAACGACCATTAAAATGAATTTGATACATGTAATCTAGATGAATGTGTATATAGCAGGTGAATAAAAAGTGGTCTCAGAATATGCAAACACTAACAGGGATTGTTATATAACTTGTTGAAAAAATCATGATGAGAAAAAACCGTCAAAGAACCATAAACAACAAACCTGAAAATGCAAACTGCTAAGACAGCGACTGATCTGGCGGAACAAAGGAACCATACAGCGCTGGAACTCAGGAGGCTGAGTTGCTTCTAAAACTTCCTCCAGCTCGCCTAAGAACATCACCTCCTTCGAACTGTTTGTGATTGGCCAATATTTCAATAAGCCCCTTATGACAGTATCAGCAAGTTTGCAATCCTTTTCAACAAATTGTGCAATGCAATAAGATAACTGCTGATGGTACATAGATATACACTTAGGTTTGTGAAGTGGAATAAGTGCCCGGACGAGGAAGAGTTTATGCTCTTCTTTTAACGGCAACGCGAATCCGTTTATAATACTTCCCAAAATCTCCAAAAGTTCTGCAATTCCATTATGCTTCTCGGTTTCAAAAATAAACTGGTAGAATATATTGTTGATAGCTTTCCTAATGTATGGACGGTGAACCATGAACTTTCCATAAATACGGTGCAAAACAGTCTTCAAGTACTCTCTTTCTCTGGGATCTTCTGAATCAAAGAGATCCAATAATCTTAAAATGAAAGAGTGATCTATGTACCGCTTAGCCAACTTTGCATCTGTCTCTGGTGAAGCCACGAACCTTAGAAGGAATTCGTAGACAATTTGTAAATGGGGCCATGCAGGGTCCATCATGGGCTCCTCTTCTTCTAAGTCAGTGCCCTCAAAAACTTTGTTTTCATGAGATTGAGTAGAGAGTACCCGGAACAAATTTATGGATACCATTCTTATAATATCTTGCATAACGGTTTCTGTGAATTTCACATTTGTGGAAGTAACGTAATCAACGAGCTCCACCAATGTCTGTTTCTTGATGTCTTTTTCTTTCAAATTCTTCGTTGGGTCAGTGAAGTCAAATAACACACAACCCAAATTCAGCTTTTTGATAAACAAGTTTTGCTTTTCGGAATTAGGGACATAACTAAAACTAGGCAGTGCCTCATAAGCAACTACTGCATTCCCATTCACCTTTGCATTAGATGTATGGCCGGAATCCGAAGTCGGATTGATCCCTGAAAGAGATGTAGCATTTGAATTGCCCAACCGAGAGTTTGTAGAATAATTGCTTCTCGAAGTATTAGAAGAATTTGTAGAGAAAGTAGAGGATCCTCCATCACGATTATCCCCTAACTTGGTCTGTTTCCGTGGGAGCCTATTGAGTATATTTTTAATCATCACCTACACCTAGAAATCACAATCTTCTTCGTGCTAACTCAACTGCTATTGACCAATCCAGTTATTAAACGACCGCCAGTAGACAAACCCTCAATAATGAAGGAGGTATATGACATGCAAAAACCGGATCATTAAACCAATTCCAACCACTAGTTACCATTCAATGAAGATCAGGTCTCCTTTTATGATAGAAATGTCTCCATCGCCATAAGCCCAAGCATGATAAATGTAAGTTCAGATACCACACGTCTGTGATGTGAAAAAAGAAAACGGAGAGGAAAAAATCAAACCAAATTCACATTCAAGAAATCACACACCACCATAAGTTGTAAAAGTAAGAGTTATCTTCATTAATCCAAAACAAATATGGAAAGATCGATTCATCTTTAAGTGAAAAAATTACAATCCAAAAAATATTATTCCCACTCCCATTAAGATAAATATTTAGTCGTTATTAAATATAATAATAAAAAGCCAGCATGCCGAGTAAAGTTTAAATTAAAAATTTACTTCCAAGAATATAATAGTGAGATTCTACATTGTTTACTTCTTCACAACCTGAAACCCCAAGAATAGAAGCAAAATTTAAACTTACTTTAGCTTTCTTCGTCACCCAATTTTACAAAGATTCCCAGTTATTCTGCTATAGACAACAAGATCTGCGCGTGATCTACAACACCCATATAACATTCATCAAGAATCACCTACAAAAGGCGTCAAACATGATCACCAAAACCCACCTTAGATACAGCTATAAATGCATAAATACCTAAAGAACAAAGCTTTACATGCATATTTACGAGGAAAAAAGTCAATAAATTACGGGTCATTGATTCTTACATATAATATTGAGCGAAAGAAAAAGCACAGAAGTGGAAAAGATCGAGTTTTGAGAGCTGGGTCAATTATTGAAATCTGAAATTAATTCCGAAAGAGAAGAAGGACAAACAATTTGCACAGAAAATTATTTGTTTGTTTCTTCTGATTTGATTTTCTACCCTTTTCAAAACTGCACTGCTCTCTCGTTCTCTTCCCCACTCTCTCATACGGTTTTCTCCGAATAGGGATCAACTTATGAGGAGAAATGACAACATCGGCCCCCCACATACAATTCTAGCAGCGTGTTGTTCTCAAACATTAAAACGATAATTTCCATGATTGACGACCATTATTTTGGGGGAAAAAAATGGATATTTTGAATAATAATTTCTTTGAATAATATATGACTAAAAATTGGGAAAAAATCTTGATTTACATTCAAAACGTGTTATTATGTGAATATGTTGAAAATTAGTGTCAACCTTTCATAATATTACATTATAGGGGTATTGTAAAGATAAAAATCAAAATCAAAAATTAATTTTAATAGCATATTTCATGAGATTTATAATTTTTCAACTAGAAGTTTTATTTAACTTTTATATCAAAATTTACTAAAAATCTAATTTTATTTCCACCAAACAATGGTGTACAACAAATTTAACGTATTAAAGTACAAAAATTGTTAAAATTTGTATTTTTGAGAAATACAAGTGGATGCTGATCTAATTATGATTGCAACAAGTGCAAGATCCTCTGATTAGTGATTTGAAAGTTTGGAGATGGAGGTCCATGTTGCTTGGATTTTAAACTTCAAGATTTGTTGAAAATTTTGATTGTTTGGCACTTGGATTTTGATATTTGGATTTGAACTTTAGGACTTGGATTTGAATTTGCTTTGATTTGAAGAGTACTTTAATCTTTTTGGACTTGATTAGATTTGCTTAATTAAAAGAATATTTTCATCTTCTTGGTATTTTCCGAATTTAGGGTTGAGAAAGTTTTTTCTTCGTGGGAATTTTTCCTACAGCTTTCACTTGTGAGTTTTTCATGGATCTTTAGTTTTATCTATAGTAAAAATCGTAACCAATTTTGTAACAAAGTAGGTTGGGTTTTAGTAGACTTTAATTTAATAGACTTAATTGGGTTAATCATTATAAATTGATCCAATCTACTAATTATTTTTTACGTCAACAAATGTCCCCTCAAAAATTTATTTATTTCACAATAAATAAATAGATAAATCTTGAATTTTTATTTTGAAAGTTTTGGTTGATAGTTTATTTAAAAGGTTTTGCCATTCGTCCAGGACTATATGGGCTCTGGATGAACACAGGGCACATGTGATCCCAAGAGTAACAGACTCTAGCAAAATCCTTATCTAAAATTGGCCTATTCTTTTCAAATTAAAAAATAATAATAATACTTGTATCGATTTGCCACAGTGTGGTTAGATACTGCCCAAAGGCAGCCTCAACTTGGGAGGATGGGAATGAAGGTTTAAAATCTTTAAAGGAAACATGAACCATATCAAATTTGAAGAAAATGCCCAAATGGAATAAAGAATTCGTGGCAAAGGGACATTTTGATATTTACAATTTTTTTAGCAGATAAATTGGCACATTTTTAAATTTGAAATTGTTTAGAGTTTAATTCAAAAACTCTTTTTCAATTTATTTCCTATTTTTAACTCACCTTATTTTTTGAATTTGAATGTGATTTTATAATTTGAGTTCTAACGAGTCTTCTAAAGAGATAGAATTCTATGTGCTCATTTGGTAAAAATTTTGTTAATTGATTTTTTACTGTTAGAGATAAAGTGGATCCTATCTGTAAGAGAAAAATTCAAAAATGACGACTGAAATAGTGAAATAACGGTCAAAAAATTGATTTTAATTAGGTTAAAATTTCTACCAAACATGCTTTATATAAATACATCACTTTTTGGCTCAATTAGCTCCTGTCTGACAACCTTTAAAATTTTAAATTATTTGTTATCGTATCATTTCACACCACACATTCACATAACAAAATATTCAATACACAAATCAATAAAATTTTCTTACTTTTTAACTCCACATTTTTCAAAAAATATATCTAAAACTCTTTAATTCTTAAAATAATGGGTGACAGACTCTTTTATTGTGGTTTCTACTGAAATACATCCTACTTTTTAAAATTCATAATCTAATTTGAAAAAGAAGAAAAAAAATTTTACAAAATATGTTAGAAAAATCATTGACTTTTCAAAACGATTTTTACAACCTTGATTTTTGAAAGGGACAACGTCACCTATTGAACTCTCTGCTAAAATGCAAAGTAGAAAGAATTTTCTACTATTGTTATATAACATTCATTTTTGCTTTTTAGGTTTGTTTCTCCTTCTCCCTTTGGAGCTTGTATCACAATAATTATTCAAGAAAAAAATTTTGAATAGTAATGTTTTAGAGAATGTGTTATTAGAAAGTAGGGAAAAATTTTTGATATACGTGTAGAATATTATATTGTGGGAATGTGTAATTGAAAATGACTATGTAGCAAACTATAAAACAATTTAATGATTATCAAACAGACACTTAATTGTATAAAGAATTTTCTACTATTGTTTTATTAGATTCCTATTTTTTTTTCCTTCTCACTTTAATTATGTAAATCTATGTAATTATATTATTATGAAAAATAGACTGCACGACGAATTCATATATTAAAATATAAAAATTTTAGAAAATTATATTTTGATAAAAAAAAAAAAAGTAATATTAACCTTCTTGTAATTGCAAAATTGTAAAAATTATCTAATTAATGATTTGAATATTTGAAGCAAGTGGCGACTGGCTTGAATTTGGGGTTTCGAGAATTTGTTAAAAAATTGATTTGTTGAGACTTGTCTTGTTCGGTACTTGAGCTTCGGGGTTTGAACCTGAATTTGATTTGATTTGAAGAAGACTTTGATTTTCTTAAACTTGGCGTGAACTTATTTGATTCGAAGAAGATTTTGATCTTTTTGAGGTTCACCGGATTTAGATTTGAGATGATTTCTTCCCAGTCTCTGGCTTTGAAATTTTTTCAGCACTTCGTGATTGTTTTCTTTGCTATCACTTGTCTTGTTTTCCTTCCTCCTCTTGTCTTATAGATCATTGGTCCTATTTATAGGGGTGAAAAATGGGCCGAACGGCTCATCAACTCGCGAAAACGAAGCTCGTGGGTGGCTCGGGCTCGTAAAAACACGAGCCCGAGCCCGCGAGCGGCTCGTTTGGAACGAGCCACGAGCCAGGCTCGTGGCTCGTGTTAAATGTGACCGAAACGGTCACATTTTGCCACGAGCTAAATGTGACCGAAACGATCACATTTTTTAAAATGTGACCGTTTTGGTCACTTTATCAAGTCAGTAACCGTTTCAGTCCTCCATTTTTTTTTCTTTTTTTTTTTATCGTTAACGAAATTCAGTGACCGTTTTGGTCCTTATATTTTTTCTTTTCTTCTTCTATAAATAGTGGCATTTAGCCACAAAATTTTTTACAATTCTCTCTCAACTCTCAATTATCTTTCTTTCAACATTCTTGTATTGTGTTGATAACTTGCAATTTATAAATACAATTTATACAATATACAATTCTCATTTCTCAGTTTTCACTATATTTATTGAAATTTTATCTAATTTTCATTTCTCACTACATTTATACAATTATTCTTCTATTAGTTATTACTTATTACAACTAAACAAATGGATCCGCAATCATTTGTCGAAAACGTGTTCGGTGTGGGAGGAAACGAATTGCCTATGACACCGCAAAGTCAATTTCAGAATTAATTTGAAGGTTTAAATGACATACCCCTACCTGAAAATATTCCAGATTTGGATCTTCATCATCATGTAAGTGGCAATCCAAATTATCCAATTAATTTGGATGATGTTGACGTTCCCGAAGTAGAACACGATCAGGAAGAAGAGGCTGAATTAAACATTCCGATGCGAGGGGAAAGCAAAAGGGGAAAAAACAAGCAAAATGTTGGGATCACTTTAAGTTGATTTCGACGGAAAAAATCGTCAATGGAGTCCGAGAATCCAAAGCAGTATGTAAATACTGCCAACAAAGATTGGTATGGCAAAGAGGAATTGGTACCATCCATCTCAACCATCATTACAAAGTATGTGCGGCCAAATACGGACTTATTCCAAGCTGTCAAACACAATTGCAATTTGACAGTCCAGACGCCGGTGGTTCTGTTGCACCCCTATCCACATGGGTGTATTCGGAGGAGAAAGGTCGAACCGGAATGGTGAAACTTGTTGCTGGTGCTGAGTTGCCTTTGACATTAATTGACAACCAACACTACGTCTCGTATGTGAAAGAATATCTGCAGTCAAGGTACATTGGGGTAAGTCGAAACACTCTTCGTTCCGATACAATACAATATTTTACTTCAACAAAACAACAATTAATTATAAATTTGTAAAAATATGGGGGTGTCATATCTTTAACTTCAGATATATGGGAAGGGATTAATAAAAGAGCATATATAGCTGCAATTGCACATTATATAGACCCACTTTGGTGCATGCATAAAAAAATTATTGCTTTTAGAATTATTAAGTTTCCTCACAACACTAATAATATATTTAATGCTATTATTAGTATTGTTAGAGAATATCATTGGGAAGGTAAAATTCGTTCATTTACTTTCGATAATACTAGTGTTAATAAAGTAGTTGCTGAAAAATTGCATAGGGCATAGGGTACTACAACCTGATTTTGTTGGGTAATTGTTTCATATTCGTTGTGTATGTCATATTTTGAATTTAATTGTCCAAGATGATTTAAAATATATAAAGGATGAATTTCAAAATATTAGGATCGTACTAATATATATCACAATCTCTTCAAGTAGAAAACAAGCATTTGAGGATTATTGTGCCGAAATAGGAGTGAAAAATGCTAAAACATTTGTGAGCAACGTAGGTCATAGGTGGAACTCTACTTACTTGTTAGTAAAGTCATGTGAAGATTTTGAACATTTAATAACTGACTTTTATAACAATAGACATATTAGAAGTGATGACGAGGGTATGTTAACTGAACGTGATTGGTATTTAGCTTTGAAAGTTAAAAAAATTTTGACATCTTTTTATGAAACTACTAAAATTTTATCGGGCGTTTACTATCCTACCAGCTGTATGGTGCTTGAACGTCTTTATATAACTGCAAAAATATTTCATAAATACAGAAATGACCCTAATTTTAGTGAAATTATAATTGCTATGGAATTTAAATTTAGAAAATATTGGGAAGATTTGCCTATGTTATTTCTTTTAGCATGCGTAATGGACCATCGATATAATTTATCGGGAACTAAATATATAA